TTTCCATCAGTTTCTTTCATGACCCTTTCAATAAGTACCTTAGCATACAGTTTTCCCACAATGCTAAGAAGGCTGATGCCACGGTAGTTTTTACAGTCCTGCTGCGACCCTTTTCCTTTATATACTGGGACTATCACGGCTTTGCACCAGTCTACCGGTACCCGCTTCAGTTCCCAGCATAAATTAAACAAGGTGTGCAGCAGGCCTGCCACAACTTCCTCTCCAGCCCTTAGCATTTCGAGTGAAACTCTATCATATCCGGCAGCCTTACCTGCTTTCATGCTTTTCATTGCTTTCATTATTTCATCTATACTTATCTCACTACCTTAAATCTTTGTTTCAGAGAGCACGAGGGATCTGTGACAGAAAACATCTGGCCGCCGAGCTGCAGCATGTCAAGCAAGTGTTGCAAGACAACAAGCTTCGGATCCCGCACCTACGTCACAGTGACCGAGTGAAGCCGGCCACAGTCGAGCGTGTGCCTGCTGTACTACCACATGTCAGAGGAGTCACAGACAAGGTTGGCTACATCTTGAAGCGAGCTTCCATTAAAACATACTACAAGCCGCCGAAGAAGATTAGTCAATTTTTACCATCCGTCAAGTGTAATATCCCTCTACAAGATGCAGGAGTGTACAAGTTAGATTGTGAATGTGGTCTCTCTTACATAGGTCAAACAAAAAGATCCATAAAAACCCGCGTGAAAGAACATATAGCTGACGTGAAGCACCGACGCTCCGGGAAGTCTGCAGTCTGTGAACATGTTCAAGATCGTCCCCACCATTACATCAGATTTGATAAACCACAAATCCTCGCAAAAGAACACCGATTCCTACCAAGGATGATACGCGAGGCTATTGAAATTAAAAAACATCCTAATTTCAATAGAGAAGATGGTTGGGTGCTGCCATCTGCTTGGGATTCTATAATTAACAAAATTAAACCAAAACCCAAGCATACCACTGCAAGACTTCATGATACTATAAGCTCGTTTTGCGTAAATCGGACCAAAAATTAATATTAAAAAACTGAAGGTAGCCGGACTAACTATGACATTGGGACGTCAAACATCTCAGTCCCCCCCGTGACCATGGGCGCTGTAAAGCACCCGAAACGTCGGGAATTAAAAAAATAAGTAAAATCAGTTAAATAAACGTGATAGAATCCGTAAATTTAGGTTTATTCAATGTGTAGTGTTCGCGTAAATTTAAGAAATCATTATTGCGGAATGATTAATGTGAAACGTCAAAAGGAATTTCTTAGATTTGGTTGACCATAATGTCTTGTAAAGTAACGTCATACATAATACTGCTACAATAGGGATGTCATTTTTCTAGTAAATCAGAACACAACTTACTCTCATATTTGGCATAGTATAAATAAACCAAAGATGACCATTTGACAATTACATGCAACATCTTTCACTAGATTTTTCTCTTTTTGCCTTATTTGAAAATTAAGTTAGAAAAGCGAGACAAGTATACTGACTCAATTTACGTGGAATTGTAGGTACTCTCTATACATACGTATGTATGTAATTACACTATAAGGACGAGAGCATGGAGGTTAGAGAACAGGAGAACGATCGCTACGTGCTAAAGCACAGCTCGCCTGTCCCTGAAAATTTGTAGAATTTATATCCACGCTGCCGTCGGTAAGTAGTATCTGCTAAGAAATTTTGTAATTATTGACAAAAAGAAACGTTAAAAAATGGTAAACTAATATGAGAAAAAATATAATAAAAATCATAATTAATATGTTAATCATATTTCCGTCTAGGATATGATCACAAACTGCAGACTTCCCACACCAGATCATATCCTAGACGGCCCCAACCATTACATCAGATTTGATAGACCACAAATCCTCGCGAAAGAACACCGATTCCTACCAAGGATGATACGTGAGGCTATTGAAATTAAAAAACATCCTAATTTCAATAGAGAAGGAGGCTGGGTACTACCATCTGTTTGGGATCCTATAATCAATAAAATTAAAACTAAACCCAAGCATACCACTGCAAGACCTCAGGACATAGTCAGTTCATTTTGCATAGATCGGACCATAAACAATAATTAAAAAAGCTGAAGGTACTCCGGGTTTAACAATGACATCGGGACGTCAGTCATCTCAGTCCCCCGTAACCATGGGTGCTGGAAAGCGCCCGAAACGTCGGGAATTAAAAATAAAAAGTAAAAATAAACGCGATAAAATCCGTAAAAGTAGTTTTAATCATGTGCAATGTTCGCGTAAATATAAGAAATCATTATCATAATTAATAATTTATATTTGTTTTGTGTTGTATATATTTATAATAATTAAAATTATAAAAAACATAATTTATAATTTATTTATTAATAAATAATAATAAAAAAATACAAAAATTAATTTCGTTATCTTCTATGAATGATATAATCATTTCAAATTAGCGCACGATCTCATACTTCTACACTCCATAGATCGCAGCGCCTCACTTATTTTGTCCATATTTCTAGAACACTATTTTCTACAGCAATCGTTCTCCTGTTCTCTAACTCGAGAAACCTATAGACAAATTGACGCCTTCTTTCGCATTCGCACACGAAAAAGATAGATTTATGCATACGTCTTGCATAGAAATGAGACAGAGCGGTGTGATTGTTTGTCCCTTTCTCCGTACCGGTTTTTTTGTTTAGCAAACTACACTTTTCTAAACAACTTTGACAGTTCGTAGCAATCTAAGGAGTTTAAAAGTTGCTTTAAGTGATAAAAAGGTGTTTTGTTAGCTTAAGATTGGTGAATTTTGTTCAGTTCAGTTCTTAGAACAATTAAAAATGTTATCTAAATATGTTTAAGTCATAAAGATTATTGTATAACCTAAAACTACGTTATCGTCCTTTCCCACTCGAGGCCACGTTAATCATTAGTCTATAGGTTTCTCTGTCTACGATTTCGTCCAATTTCGTCTACGATTTATGTAAACCGTAGACCTAATGATAAGATGTAAGCTGTGATTACCTATATAAAAAATCTCTGTGTAGTGTATCGCACAGAGTACTTTTTCGGATTATTCAAAGAACTCTGTGGAGTACTCTTTGTATACCTACCTGAAAGTGTATCGTTTATAAATATAAAGTTGTATGTACAGGATATGTACTATGTGCTTGGCACAGAGTACCTTTGCAGTACTCGTAGACAGAGCAGTGTTGCCATATATACAGATTTCCCCGTATTTACACATATTTTCAGTGTGTGATACAGATTAGCACTGGATACAAATTTTTATACAGAGTTTTCTAACTCTATTGATTGGATTACAAAAATATTTAACTTAAAACAGAACGAAGCCAAATAAGTGACTGGATACCGCGTTACACACATCATTGCATGATTCTATTCTTTATGGTTAATTTATTTTTCACAACGTAATTAGTTAATATGGTAGAATTACAAGTATATAACTGCTATAACTATTATATATATAATATGTATTGCTGAAAATAATAAACTTATTATATGTTCGTTTGTTGCAAATGTTTGAATTTTAATAAGTTGTTTGCTTATATTAATGTTTTCAATTTTGCTATATAAAAATTTAGTGTATAGTGTATATTTTATACTTGGTAGAGCCACGCTGCAGCTATATTATGGTTGCAGCACGAATGAGTCAGCTCGACCGGGGAATGAGTATAGTAAACTCTTGCTTCGTATGGTGTAAACGAGGCATTCCATCTTACTCCTCAGGCGTGACAACGCATCTGAGTTTTGATTCTTAAGCGAGGATAAATGTAGATTTCAATGGGCCACAGCATCCACTTACCATCGGTGTACTGTGTGCTCATTTGTCACCCCTATTCTATAAAAAAAAATATAACGATAATCAAACTTTATAAGCTTATCACGTTAGTAGTTATTTCTTGTTTTTCAAAAGAAGCAATGATGATGATGAGTTATTCTATTTTGGTTTATTATATTATACAGATTTTAAGTTTAAATAGCATACAGATTTAATACAGATTTTAGCAGTTTCTAATACAGATAAAAGGATCAAAGCATCTGGCAACACTGAGACAGAGAAACCTAAATCTAGGTTAGGTTTCTCTGTCTAGTGTCTACGGTAGTACTTGGCTACTTCGTACTATGACTATGTATAATCGTTTTGTGGATAATAATTACATTTAAAGTTCTTTGTTGTTAATTGTTAACTCTACAATACTCTTTGTCGCTAACACGGTTTTTGTGTTAAACCAAAAAATAATACAAACTAAAAAAAAATAAAAATATTTATAAAACTTGTTGAACTTGTTTGGTAGTAACAAATTCAAATCTAATATCAATATTTCTAAAGCCGGACAATTAAATATATTCAAATGGAGCTGTGATCGTAATTTGTAACAATAAGTTTAAGATTTAGCGTACCTAGTTGTTTATTCTCTTGGGTGTAAATAAAATTGTTTTGGTAGTTTTTGTCAGTGTTATTTTATTAATTGTGAATTACGAATTCTGCTGAAAGAAACGAAAAAAATTGCATGTTAAACATGAATAGAACAAATATCCAAACAAATAGTGATAAAAAAAGATCGAAAGAATATAGCCGTACCTTTTCGGCGCCTTTTATATGTGTAACTTTGTTAATATTATTATTTCTGATGGTGTATATTGTTATACTTAAGAAAGAAGTAAAGCCCATTCCAGTTGAAAATTCCTTAAACTATCTCTATAACACGAATCGGACAAACCGAGAGATGTTTGATAAAATTTCCCGGTGTGATAAGGTTGTTTCATGTTATTACAACACACCAACTTCACAAACATCTGACCAACTAATTCCTTCAAACATTTACCCACACCTCTGTACTCATATAAATGTTGCTTTTGCACGAATTAGAAATAAAATCATTTATTTAGATAGTGAACAATATAAGACTTTGTCTGAAGTTGTCTTGCTTAAGAAAATAAACCCAAAATTAAAAGTATTGCTCTCAATTGGGGGAGCCCAGAATGACAGTGGATTCTCTGATATGGTAATTAACCATGCCTCAAGAAAAACCTTTATTAAAAGTATAAAAAGTACTTTGAGAAACTATACATTAGACGGCATCGACTTGGACTGGGAGTTCCCTATGGTGCATGATAGCAATGTGGATAAACGTGAACGTCAACATTTTTCACAGTTGCTACGTGAAATAAGAACGGAATACATAAGAGAGAAACAAAATTATTTGTTGACTGTTGCTGTTGCTGCACCAGAAACAATTGTAGACGTAGCATATGATGTTGACCAAATCAATATGTATGTTGACTATGTGAATATAATGACATATGATTTCCATTCCTTCACTAAATATACTCCATTCACTGGTCTAAATTCTCCATTATATAAAAGAAGCACTGAAATAACATATATGGCTACATTAAATATTGACTACACTGTACAAATGTACTTGAAGAAAGGGTTAGATCGAAGTAAAATTGTAGTTGGAATACCTACATATGGCCATTCTTTTACATTAGTAAATGCAAATAATGCAAGAGTAGGCAGCCCTGCGTCTGGGTTTGGTGCATTGGGGGAGTTTGTAAATTATCCAGACATATGTAAATTTATACAAAAATTCAAAAGTGAAGTTACTATAGTGGAAGATTCTGATGCACGAGTACCATATCTTTACAAAAACCTGGAGTGGGTATCATTTGATACACCACAAAGTGTGATGGAGAAAGCCAAATTTATAAAAGAACATAAATTGAGGGGTGCAATGTTATACTCACTAAATGCGGATGACTTTACTGGAGTTTGTGATTTAAAGCAAAACGATAACTTAAGGTTTCCCTTAGCAGAGTCTGTTAAAAATGTACTCAAAAGTGAACAACACAATAAACAAATATTAAGATTAGAAAATTAGAGTGAAGCATTTCACAACTAATGGATGATTCTATGAGGGTGTGAATAATTATTTATGCGAAATGGGTATGTTGGTATAGATCAATTGATACCTTTTTTTTCCTGGACACATAGGTGATTTTGTACATGGCGCAGGATTTCATATTAGAGGGCGTCACGGCGACTGTGCGAACGGTCGCAACTTTTAGCGAGTGGCAGAAGCGCCCACGCGGGCTCGGCGCCTGCGCGCGCGCACGGCACTGCGCTCACACAAACCGCACGCGCCGCAACCATTAACTCACCTTATTAACTTTTACAGTTTAAAAAAACGCAAGAATTCTCGGCGCCGCTTCGCTTACGGTGAGGGTTTCCAGTTGGGCGACTGCCTCTTTACCACGCGGAATTCATTAACTGTAGTATAAATTATAATTAATGCGCTAACTGCATTGAGAAATAGTTTAATAATTTAACGCTCAACCTGTTAGTAGACAAAGTTGATAAATATATGTTACCATTCATTTATTTTTAGTTACTACTTGTATGGACAGTTTTAGTTTATAAATATGTAGATGTGTTTTATTATAAAGAATTAGGGCTGTGATTTAAGTTTAAAGTATAACAATTTTTAGAGGAATTAAGAAAGCGTGAGGGATTATTTTTATTTCTTATAATTTTTCATTCCAAATATAAAAATGCATGTGTTTATTTCTTATGATGTTAATGTTGTTAGCCTTTTGGCTTTTACAGCTTCATAGGTCTCGGGACAAAAAGGAAAAAATGCATATATCTATGCCAAGTTACACTATTAAACTTAGGTTTCGGTCATATTCTATTTAATAAATTGTATAATTTGTGCAATATATTTATGGAAAGAGGCTCATTTAATAATTCGGTAAACATGATTAGCATATACAGCTCGTGGGTGCTTGGCATTGAACAGTTGTTCTCATGGGCGTTAGTTTATCCAAATGTGGTTATTGGTGACCTAACATTTTATTATTATGTAATAAATTTATTATTATGTATCTTGCTTAGTAACATAATTTTCTACACAATACAAATATTATGATGATAAATATACATGACTTTTTTCTAGTACACCATGTTTTAATGTAATAGTAATTAGGGATGGGCCGAATATGGATTTCACCGAATACGAATATTCGGCCGAACGTTCGGTAAAAATTTTACCGAACCGAATATTCGGCCGAACATTATTCGTCAGGATTACCTCGGTACCTAACCAATTTATGTCGAAACTTGTTACCGTAAAACGCGCGGGATTAGCGCCAGAGCCTTCACTTCGCTCCCCTGCTACACCTGACATGTTGCATCATCTAATACTGAACAAATTGCAGGCACATGCTTATGTTCCGACTATTTTGTGAGAAAAATAGTATTCTTAGTAAAAATTGATAAGTATGTGATGAAAATAATTGGCGGGAGATCTACTATTTGGACCAATTTAAGATAAACTGACGACTGTAATGTAATGTTTCTTTGTTTGATTCCAAACAAAATAAATCTACAGTGCCTCAGAAACATGTTGTTATACAAGTAGATTTAACCCATAAATAAATATACTTTCAACAGTAAAATTATGAAAGACATGGCATTACTCAATTCGTACATTTCCATACAATGGATCCTTTGAGTACCACTTTAACGAATATTCGGTGATTTAGACGAATATTCGGCCGAATACGAATATTCGGTAAACCTGCCGAATACCGAATATAAAACGAATATTCGGCCCACCTCTAATAGTAATATAATAGTTGTTGCATATCATTGTCATGTTGGGAGTGTATGTTTTGCAAGAAATATAATTAGACTTGCAAAGAATAGTATATTCGGCCATATGCTCAATACCAAATATTCTGCGGGCTTCCTGGCCGAAAGAAGGGATATTTTTATATTAGGAAAAAGCATTCAGCCAGGAAGGAAGTACTGTTTTTTGTTCAAAGCGTACATTCTCGGAAGCTAGGATTGTCTACAAGAGGAAAGTTACTAAACTGAAAATGCAGAAAAATTAGTCTTTTTGCACCAAAATTTTTCACCTTAATTAAGATAATTCAAGGGCATAGACATTATCTGATAGATTTTTGTTATTTTTTATAATAGGTTGATTATGCATTTGTGATTAATAATTATAATAAAGAGATATCGTTATAATATAAATCAATATTTTTATTTTAACAATTATCTGACTACATCAAAACATCTTACTCAAGTATTCGGGGTATTCGGCCGAATAGGAAAAAAGTAGTCGAATGGGCTGAGTACCGAATAATAGTCGAATATTCGTTGCAAGTCTAATTATGATTATTTACAATAACTGAACTATGTCGATATCTTTTTGTCGATTCGATCTGGTGATGGCACATATTTTTAAAATGGTAAACTTATTATTCATGTGTGAAAGGACTAAACAATTTAATATAATTAGGTACATCCGCGAAAGGCGAGGTGGTGGCTCGGGGGCTAAACGCTCGCTGCAAATTTCACAGTACGTAAGCTGTCCGGGTTCGATCCCCGCCGCAGCACCAATGAAATTGATGCCACGCACGCAGCGGTGAACGAAAACATCGTGAGGACACCTGCATGTCTGACAAATTAGAAAAAAATAATTTCAAACACGTGAAGTTCGCGAACGCGGGCGGCGGGGCGGATATTTCTTTGCTCTAAAACTCTCAGAAATGAAATGTGGGCGGCCTGTACCCAGCAGTGGGACGCATATATCCGGTAACTTTATAATTATGTCCTTCACACCGAATTTCGATCTAGGCGAAGTCTTCAAGAAGAGTGCTATCTGCGTAGGACAAAATAATATGCATGTGTGTGCGTCCAGAACAGGTGCACTGTCTATTCTCCTATTCGCGTAGTCCAATAAGACCCAAGAGAAAGAACAGGCGGACTGGGACAGACAGGATCAACGCCTCTACGTGGCTTCCGACACTGGGGTAAAACACTTCGGGCTGATACTGAGAATTTCTTGAATGAAAAACCTACTTATTACGACCCGAGCCTGTACCATGTAATCAGCAGTCACATTGATTAGGTACCACTAAACCAATGAGAATAATATGTTTTTTAAAGAATAACTAGTAGTACTATTTAACATTAGAAACACTCTCGTTAACTACTTTAATACTTTAAGTGAGCTTAGAAATACTTTTTTAATAGAATAAGGGTGTCTAACGAGCACACAGTCCACCTGATGGTAAGTGGGTGCTGTGGTCCATAAATATCTTCATCTATCCTCGATTACGAATCAAAATGCAGATGCTTTGTCACCCGTGAGGACTAAGATGGAATGCCTCGTTTCCAGTAAAATGGGTCTCTGGTTCTCTGCACTCACTATACGAAGATTTATTATATTATAGTCTCCCTTACACACCAATAATACTTATAAAGCAACAATGATTTAGTGGTAAGCTGCTAAGCAACTTGCCTGGTGACTCATTGGTTTGAATTCTAAGTTAAATCCGTGCAGTGTAGAAATTAGTTTTAATCAAAACGTACATATTATGACTGATTTTACAGTATCTATTCAAATGCAGATTGATATATTACATTAAAAGCAAAAAGAAACACGAGCCGTCGACGTACATTAAGTGACAGTAGCCTAATATATTTGGACACCAAACTCAAGAAAGAAAAGAGCCTACGCCTTTTCACATCTGCAATTGCACAGGTGTTGAATTGGTTCATGGGTAACGGTAGTCACTTACTAGTTACCATTAAGTGAGCTGCATGCTCATTTCCACTTCTATAAAAAACAAGTGGTAAAATTAAAACAAAATTGTACGACCAAATCAATGTAATTCGAAGTCAATTAAATACGCATTATATAACTCAAAAACTAAAGGTCAGATCTTCATAAATTTGTATGGAACCACACGAAAAGCACCAGCTTTCAGATAAAACAGAATCATGGAAATCGGTTCACAAAAAACACAGTCGCATGGAATACTTCCTCATTTTTGAAGTCTGTAAAAACACAGTCTACTTGATGGTAAATGAATGCTGTGGCCAATTGATATCTACATTTATTTCAAGTTAATCAAAATGCAGATGTGTTGTAAATTGTAATCCTTGAAGACTAAGATGGAATGCGTAATTACCATTACTAAAGGTTACAGATTCTCTACACTAACTATACGAAGCCCAGCTGTTGTTAGGCCAGTTAAGCTAATAAGCTGCTATTTTACGCTCGTACTTTGTGAGAGCATGGTCCTATCTCGCCGACCCATTTGTGCTACAACCATAATATATCTGCAGCATGGCTGTACCACGTTATAATCGCACGTATATTATGGTAACGTGAATTTCGTCCTATCGCTGCGGATCCAGGGAGGGGGGTGTTGTGTTGTAGTACCTACACATTCATTTCTATGCCGTATTGTGACGGTGTAAAAAGTCTCAAGACGGTAAAGGGCGACAGAGGGAAATTTAATCAAGGGCATCAGCTGCATACTTGATAATTTAATAATAAAATACTTATGAGAGCATAATGGACAATAAATCCGACATCTCATCTCCTTGGGACGCAGAGATAGCTGTGAACGTATCCATAAAATAGAATGCTGAACGATATTGTTCTATAACATATTTTAAATACATATAGCGTAGTCCGAACTGAACTTCAGACAGATAAGTAGAATCTACCTTGAGTAGTGCTCAGAGGAATTATTCGGACTAATTATTGTTGCCAAATTTTACCATAGCACATCACGACAAAACTCGCGATACTATCCGTACCATCTGGATGCTTGGCGGTCTACCACTGCGATCCATCAGCAATTCTTTTTTAATAGGCCAGCAAGGCATCTGCAATTCCGCTGGTGTTGTTCATGGGCAGCGGTTGACGTTCACCATTAGGTGACCCGCATGCTTGTTTACGTTAGGTATGCAAGTTTACCGCCTTACTTAAAATACTGTTACGCGCTCAAGTCGACGGCACTAGCGCCATCTAGTCTCGAACCGAAGAACTAAACTTCTTGAAGTTGAAACACGAAC